GGAAATATATTCATGATACTTTAAGTGGTAAAGACAATTTTAAAGAATGTGAAGAATTATTTCATTTTAAGGAAGTTAAACCATTTTAAAAAAATATGTACATAAAAAATACTAGTTTGCCACAGGCTAAGTGTTTGTGTCCTTTCAAAATTTGTTACATCCTAATACCCAATGTGATGATGGTATTTGGAGGTGAGACTTTTAGGAGATTAGGTCATTAAGGTGGAGCCTTTATGAATAGGATTAGTGCCCCTATAAAAGGGGCTTCAGAGATCTTCCTCACCCCCTACCACCATGTGAGGTTACAGACAGCTGTCTGTGAACCAGGAAGTGGGTCCTCACCAGACACCAAATTTGCTTCTGCCTTGCTCTTGGATTTCCCAGCCTCCAAAACAGTGAGAAATAAACTTCTGTTGTTTATAAGGCCCCCAGCTCATGGTACTGTTACATCAGCCTAAACAGCCTAAGACAAAGGTGATAATATGTAAATGTCAATAATGGCTTATCTAAAAATTGATCACAGATGATTTTCAACTCTTTTTGAAATGAACTGAAAAGAATTCTTTTCCCTTTCCATGTTTTATGTTTTACAATAATAAACATATATTACTATAATAAAAATACATAAAATACATTAAATTTGATGTAGTTCTACATTGATCACATATACATGTTTTCATTCCTGAAGCAGAGAAAGTGCTATCCAGTGACTGTATTTGCCTTTTCCCTCCACAGCGTCACAGAAGTGTTCCTCTTAGAATCCAGGTCCGCTTGATGTGAGTGCGTAACTATTTTAAATAGCTATTTTACTGTATTTACTACAAGATTTGTTTATCTTGTTTTCTCATTCATTGTCAGATTCCCTGGATGAAATTTCATTTCTATCTTCAGTTCCTAACTTTATTTTGCATCTTGTTCTCCTTCAAGATAGTCGATACTGACTGACCTATTCTGTACTGTTTAAACTTCTAAATTTCCTTCTGCCTTCCATTTTTATAGCTTTGCAATTTGCTTGGACTCTTGCTCCAAGTCTCTAGCCATCTCTCAAAATTAGAAATGATCTTATTTCTATCAACAGGGAAATAGATAAATCAAACAACAAAGCTAGAAATAGAATGATATTTTAAATATAGGACATATGTAAGTTTTTCAAATACATACCAAATAAAGCTATGCATTGTTATGAATCTGAAGCAAATCTGAGTGGTGGATAAATGAGTTTATATTGCTCTCTGAACTTTGTATTTGAAATATTTTATAATAAAAATAGATGTGCAGGGATGGCTCCATTGTGTAGTGGTTAGCACATCTGCTTTACAAGCAGAAGGTCCTGGGTGCTCACCCCAGGTGGAGCCACGCCCCAGGACCCAGGGTGCGCTAGGCCCCTGGTGTGCTCCGGGCGTGTGTGGGAGGAGATACTCGGCCTTCAGAGATCCAGTTCTTAAGGAGAGACAGCAACATCCGTAGGTCAGGGTGGAAGGGGGCGGTGCGGGGGGCGGGGGGCAGAATTAAAGAGTGGAAAAAAATAGATGTGCATAAATCTTTTAGAAGAAATAGGCCACATTTAGAGTAAAGCACTCCTTTGGTACCCTTGACTCTGACTTTTTAACTTTATTTTCTGTTTGAGCTCAGGAAGAGAATCATATGAATTAATGAATGTGATGAGTATAGCTAATGTAGAACATCTAATGATGGCCTATTTAGCTTACTATAGGTTTTATGGGCTTATAAAGAACACTATGAATCATTCCCTTCTCTGCTAATCTTTAGCAGCGAAATTATTTAAAACTATCTTATAATAAATATTTAATAATGTTATTGACTCCCAATTCTGAATATATATTTTTTTCTAATAGTCTACATCTTGTTTCTGGAAAACTTACCATTTTACAATTTTACCATTGGAAACCTTTAGCCAAAGATGGCTGGGACACTCCTCATGTCTTGCTCAGTGAACAGCTCAGACTTTAGCTCCAGTGGCCTTCTTCACGCTGATCATGCTATGAATTTCTTGACCTGTGAATTCTACTTTGAACTCATCTGCCCGATCATCCTTTCATGGGCATCTTGAGATAAACTCACATTATTCCCTTTTTATTCTTCACTCTTGAAAAAGTTCCATTAAAAAAATTCCTCAACTATTGAAAATTTCCTATTCAGATGATTTGTTCTCTATTCAGTTAAGTCCATAAGCATTTCCTCTGTGGCATATGGTTATTCCTCTGTCCCTTCTTGTCAATCATCTTCACCAGCTACAGAAAATTTTCTCAATTCTTTCTCCCAACACACATCTACCAGAATCAGAGTGTCTTCTTTTCCATTACAATTGCATAGTATTTCTCACAGAGACTATATGGCCCATGAGCCTAAAATACCATTTAGCCCTCTTCAGAAAATTTGCCTGACCCCTGCTCTAGACCAGCACTATATAAAAATTTCTGCAGTAACAGAAATGTTCTCCAGGCTGTCCACTAGCTAAATATAGATAGTAAGATTGAGAAAGTGAGTGTAGTTTATGGTTTTAGACAGCAAATAGCGTAGCTCTAGAAAATGAGGGGTTTATTTTAGACTACACATATGCTTTTACATGTCTGGAGCATTATGTACATGGAATTTTTTATGTCACTGTTTTGAACAGCAGAAAGTAGGAAAACCCCAAAATGTCCATTGGAAGAACACTGGTTAAATAAATTTAGTACCATCCATGTAATGGAATATTAGACAGCCTTATTGGAAGATATCCAAGAAAGTAAATAAAGTAAGAACAACGTGTAATATTTTTTTTAAAGTAATTCTTTGTTTAGTGTATCACTACATAACTCATCACCTGGAAAGTGAGTAGTTCAAACAAGTATTAAAATGCTGTGGTTGATTGGGCTCAGCTGGGTGCTTGTGTTCCACATGGGCATTGTGGGGCTCCAGCCATCTGGTGGCTTCACTTTGCCTGACAATTGGCACTGGCTGTCACCTGGGAGCCCAGCTGGGACTGTTGATTGAAGCACCTTTAATGTGGTTCTTTTAATGTGGCCTTTTCATATTGGTTGGGATTCTCACAGCATGGCAACTGGGTTCTAAGTGGATGAAAGCAGATCTTAAACGTCACTTTTGCGTTCTACAGGCCAAAGCCAGTTACAGGGCCCTCCCAGATTCAGGTAGGGGGAAATTGATTTCACTATTCCACAAGAAGAGTGGACAAGAATTTGTGGCCATCTTTAATTCACCACAAGCATAACCACGTGTGTATGCACACACACACACACAAAAATGTTTATATGTTTATAGAAAATCCTTAGAATGCATAAGAAATGGTTGATCATGGTTACTTTTATATAATAGAAGTTGGGGAAAACTCTCTTTTCTTGTGTTCTTTGAATTTTATTATATGTATTGAAAAATTCCTTTTTAAACCTCTTTTTCCCCAATGCCACTGCTAAAAGGGCCACTTGTTATGCAAGACAAAAAGAGTTCTGGGCATGACAGTGATGACTTTACAACAGTGTGAATGACCTAATGTCACAGAACTGTACACTTTAAAATGATTAAGATGATACATTTTATGTTATGTGTATTTCACCAGAATTTTTAAAAAGAAAGAGAAAAGAAAAGCAGGCAGGAGTTTCCAGGCAGCCATGAGATCAGAAGTGAATTCCAGGTAGAAGGAGCGGCATGTGTGAAGCATGAAAAGGGTGAGGTATGAACTGTGACATTAGTTTTCAGTGGTACCTTTAGAATATATTGAACAAAGGGAGATGGATGGATGGATGGATGGAGTGAGTTAGGATAACAGTAAATGTTATGACATATTTCCTAACCTGGAAAATAGCTCTTAGACTCCCTTAGGCAGGAATCACAGAAGCTACAAACCCTGTGTATTAAGTTTCTCAGCAGGCTCCTCATGTTTCCTGGGCTATCTTATGGGAAAATAAGTATCTTCTTAAAACTTTTGCATGCAAAACTCAGAAAGTCAAAAGGATATCCCTCCCTGAAGAGTAAGGCTTCGTTCTGGGAAGAAGAAATCCCTGGAGAGATCAACCCGGTTTTACCGTCTTCCCTCCCATTAACCATCGTCAACTTCCCGGTGGGTTTCTAACTTCCTATCTTGGAAGATGAACGAGTCAGTCATCCATTACAGTTCGATGGCATCTTAAAGACGCCTCCGCTACCATCCTCCTGCGCCCGGCTGCGGGGTGCGTGCCGCTGGAGGGGGCACAGCCCCTCACCCTCGCGCGTTCACACAGCCCGTGACGCCCCCTCCCCCTGGCTCCTGGGCCGTGGCCCAGCTCACCCTTCTCCCTGGTCAGGAGGGAGACGATCGGCACCCGCGGGCGGTCGCTGAAGACCTCGGCCTGCTGCACCAGCGCCTCGCGCACGCTGTGGTAGTCGTTGAGGACCACCACCAGGTGGTGGCCGATGAAGAAGCTGTAGATGTTGCCGTACACGCTGGCCATTTCGGCCAGGAGTACGTGTGAGCCTATGGAGAAGGGGTCCGTGCCTGCGGCCCTCGCCCGGGTGCGCAACCATCCCCTCCTGCGGAGGAAGGGCGGCAGCAGCATAGGGCCGAGGTTGCCCAGCACGGGCCACGGCGCGGGCCCGGGGGGCAAGCCCAGTGCCC